TTAGGTGGGTGGTTTTGCGTACTTCTGGGACCCTGTGGGTCTCTTCAATGAACTCTCCTGTGAAGCTGGGAGTTTCTCCCACTGCCACAACCCCCACAGGATTTTACCGCCAGAGGTTTTGAGGCCTTAGTTTCCCGTGCTGAAACCCTGTGTTGTGTGGTTTGTCTCACTCCCCAGTTGTTCCTCCTGGCTTATTCACAAGAGAATGTGGGATATCCCAGTCCACCAGTTGCTGCCTTGCCCACATGGTCAACCACCTTGCCCCACATTCTCTCTGCCCCTGCTGCCCGACTCCACTCCTCCTACCAGTCTGGATGAATGTTTCCTCTTTAACTCCTTGGCTGTTGGACTGCCATACAGTTCGATTTTCTGGCAGTTCTGGTTGGTTTTTGTTTTTAAATTGGTTGTTATGTTCTCTTGGTTGTGTGAGGAAGAAAAGTCTGTCTATCTATGCCTTCAGCTTGGCTGGAAGTCCTGGTGTTTTAATTGTCATCTGTTTGATTCATGTGTCTGTTTTTCAGCTGACTCCATAATTAGAAATAACTCCATTTACATGAAATGGTCAGAATACACAACTTCATTAAAACAAAGATTAGTCGTTGTCTAGGGGTAAGGGTAGTGGAAATGGGAGTGGCTACAAATGGGTAAGAGGTTGTTTTTTACATGATGAATATGTTATGAAATTAGGGTATGGTGAGGTTTCATAACTCTATGCATACACTCAAAACCAGTGAATTCTACACTTTTAAGAGGCAAATTTATGACATGTGAATTACATCTCAATAAAGCTGTTACACAAGAAAGACGGATATTATTTCTTGATATAAAACACATCTTCAAAAATGTATATAAAACATAAAATTACAGTTCAAGGTACTCTCACAAGGCAAACATACATTTAACTATCATCCAAGTCAATAAATAAAATACTGCAAATAGAGCAGACACCTTTCTCTTGTTTTCTCCTAATCATGCACCCTTCCCGCCAATCTAGGAACTTCTAACCAGAGCATATCTTCTTTTTCTTTAATGATCTAGGAGCAAGAAATACTGGATAAAAGCCCTTTCTAATTATAATTGGCAAATATCTTCTCCGATTCCATGGCTTGTGTTTGTAGCCTTTTAATGGTATTTTTTGATGAACAGGTGCTCCTAATTTTAACACAGATAAATTAATATATCTTTTCATGATTAGTGCTTTTTGAGTCATTTCCTGAGTAACAGGGAATTATTCATTGATCCCATCAAACACTGTTACTGAATACACATTCTTTAATCAGATCCATATACATAGTAGGGCAAAAGTATGTTTACAGTTGTTCATATGGAAAATAATACAATAATAAGTAATAATACAAAAATAAACCCTGTTTTGCTTAATGACAACTGCAAAACTACTTTTGCTACACTCCAAATATCTTTTTTTTCCTTTCACTTATTTTTCCTGATAAATTCTAAAAAGGAATGCTAAAGCATAGATATGTATTGTTTCCAGATTAGTACTTGAATAAAGTTAATTCAGATATAGAAAATCAAGATATTTACATAGAGATTAAATTCATAGATATGCATATCTCCTCATTTCTCAGGACAATCAAATCATTGTTATACCAAGAAAACTTTACTTATTACATTGCTTCCATTTACCTAGAAAGCAAACAATGAAAAGCTGACATAGCTAATATTTAAAAATAACATTGTATACCAATAACTAATGTTCAAAATTATGTTCCCAAGAAATTGCAAATCTGCCAAAGATTCTGTTACATTGAAAATGTGTCAATATGCAAATAATAAAATTTTGAAGGCTAGTAGTTCATTTTTTAAATTATATTTTACTGATTATGCTATTACAGTTGTCCTGATTTATTTCCTTTTGCCCCCTCTACACCCAGCAACCCCACTCCCTCAACAATCCCCCCACTACTGCTCATGTCCATGGGCCATGCAGTTAGTTCTTTGAATACTTCATTTTCTATACTGTACTTTACATCCTCATGGCTATTCTATAACTACCTATTAGTAATTGTTAATCCCCTCACCTCTTCATATATTCCCACACACTCCTCTCCCATTTGGCAACCAACAAAAGGCTCTCTCTATCCATGGCTCTGTCTGTTCATGTTTGCTTAGTTTGTTTTCTAGATTCAATTGTTGATAGCTTTGTATTTTTTTGCCATTTTATTCTTCATAGTTTTGATCTTTTTAATAAGTCCCTTTAACATTTCATATGATAATGGTTTGGTGATAATGAACTGCTTTAGTTTTTTCTTGTCTGAGAAGCTATTTATCTGACCAATTCTAAGTGATATCTTTGCTGGGTACAGCAATCTTGGCTCTAGGTTCCCGTTTTTCATGACTTTGAATATTTCTTGCCAATCCCTTCTAGCCGGCAAAATTTCTTTTGAGAAATCAGCTGACAGTCTTAAGGGAACACCCTGTGGGTAACTAACCTCTTTTCTCTTGCTGCTTTTAAGATTCTCTCTTTATCTGTAACCTTTGGCATTTTAATTATGATGTGACTTGGAGTGGGCCTCTTTGCGTCCATCTTGTTTGGGACTTTCTGTGCTTCCTGGACTTGCATGTCTATTTCCTTCACCAAATTGGGGAAGTTTCCTTTCATTATTTTTTCAAGTAGATTTCCAATTTCTTGCTCTTTCCCTTCTCCTTCTGGCACACCTATGATGCAAATGTTGGACCTCTTGAAGTTGTCCCAGAGGCTGCTTATACTATCCTCATTTTGGGGTTTCTTTTTTCTTCTTATTGTTATGATTGCTTATTTTTTTTTTTGCTTCCTTATGTTCCACATCATTGATTTGATTCTAGGCTTCATCTACCCTACTGCTGTTTTCCTGTAAATTGTTCTTTATTTCAATCAGTGAATCCTCCATTTCTGACTCAATCTTTTTTATGCTGTTGAGGTCCTTGCTACATTCCTTGAGCATTCTTCTAACCAGTGTTTTGAAATCTGCATCTGATAGGTTGCTTATCTTCATTTCATTTAGCTCTTTTTCTGAAGTTTTGATCTGTTCTTTCATTTGGGCCATGTTTCTTTATCTCCTCATTTTGGCAGCCTTCCCGTGTTTGTTTCTATGTTTTAGGTACAGCTGCTTTGACTATGTCTTGGTAGCATATCTTAACGTAGCAGGTGTCCAGTGGAACAGCCTCCCCTATCACCCAAGTTGAGTACTGGAGGTGTGCCATTCGTGTGAACTGAGTACACCCTCTTCTTATAGTTGAGTGTTGATTGCTGTTGGCAGGTCAATGGGAGGGATTTACCCAAGCAAGGAATAGCTGTGACCACTTACCACCAACCTCCGCCCTCCATGGAGGATCAGCTATTCAAGGGCAGGGTGGTGGTGCTCCAATGTGGTATATCTTTCCACTAGGTGTGCTGGCTGATGGTGGGGTTTCCTAGGATGTGCAGGCCAAGGCCAGCCCCCACCTGTGTTCTTCCTGGATCTACCCTGCTTGAGCTTTATTTATTTTTTAAAAGATCTTATTTATTAATTTTTAGAGAGAAGGGGAAGGGAGGGAGAGAGGGAGAGAAATATCAATGTGTGTTTGCCTCTTGTGCATCCCATACTGGAGACCTGGCCTGCAACCCAGGCATGTGCCCTGACTGGGAATCAAACTGGTGACCCTTTGGTTCACAGGCCAGCACTCAATTCACTGAGCCACATCAGCCAGGATGAGCTTTAATATAATCTGAGATGGCTGCTACTTATGCTGGGATTAGAGACTCCCAGGCGAAGCCACACTATGAATCTACGCTGGCTGCTGCTAGTTCAAGGCCTGGGGCTCACTGAGGCCAGCTGTTGCTTGTTTGATAGGATTTAGGAAGTTGTGAAGCATGAGTTAAGACCAGCCATTCATATGGAAAAGCAGCTTAGGTGGGCTCGTAAGTTGGGTGGGGCGGAGTCTCTGGGGATCTCCTTGGCAGGGCCAAAGGTGTTAGCCAGGTTGATGGAGTCTCAGATATGGCACCAGCTTGCTGGCTCTGTGTGAGGAGGGTTTAGAAAAAGGACAATACCCTCTGCCCACCTTGATTCCAAACATTTCAGTTTCTCTCTGTATGCCACTGGTGCCTTTTGAGTGCCACCCCAGTGCTGGAGCTCAGAAGGAGCGAATCTGAATAGGTGAGTCCATGTTTGGATTCTTTAAGAGGAAATGCTTGGGGTTCCAGCAGTTTATTCCAATGACTCTATCCCTGCTGATTTTTGTAGCCAGAAGTTGTGGCTACTTATCTTCCTGGCACTGGAACCCTGGGCTGGTGTTCCACAACACATGGGTAAGAAATCAGCCCTTTCTGCCTCTGCACCCCCGCTACCAGTTGGATGGATGTGATTTCTTCAATTCCATTTTAATGTTTGCTATTTCTGATGTTTCTGAATGTTGGTTGTTCTATATTTTTGTTGTAATTTTGATGTATTTGTGCAAAAAGGTGAGCTGTGTCTGCCTACACCACTATCTTGACTGGAAGTCCTGAAGGCTAGCAGTTCATTTAAGGTAGTTGTGATGACTGATAGTTAAGTAGAGTATGAATATAACTAGAAAATTTCCAGTCTCTGACAAATCTGAGCAAATGTGGCTTTACTCTAATAAGAACATATATATCCTCACAATTTGGCCCTGGATCCATCTGTATTAATTATATGTAGTTTTCCTTTCAAACTATCCAAGAAGCTGTTGTTTTGGTATGGAAGAGCATTGTTTACTGTTTCATATAAATTTAATTTATAACATCAATTTGTACATGATTATTTGTATTAAACTGCAGATTCTGCATGACCAATTATTAGCCAGTACTTTCCATCACACCTAGCATATGGTAGATACACAGATGCTTATGAGCAACTGAATGGCAAAAAAATCAAACCTGCAAAAAGAGTATGCTCTAAGAGTACAACAATTCCCAATACCTAATCATTAAAATTCACAATGTATTCTTTCTTCTCAGCAACAAACTTAACCTCAGTGAAGTACTTGTAAATACTTACTCTCTCTGCTTTCCGGTTCATTTTGTTCAAGAACACAACTTCCTGATGGATTCAGTTGCCACTGCAAAAGAGCACAAACATTTTATTTATATGTTTATGAAGGTTTTAATAAATAGTATTTCAGCAACCTGCTTTCAAATATTAAAGCAACTTATAAAATGTAAGAAAAAGAGTTAGCAAGTCTATACCAACCAAGCCCTAATGATGCTGAATGACCCTGAATGATATGACCTCTGGGATCAGAATCAAAATTCTTAGAGAAGCAATAAACTTTAAAGATCTTTTATATTCATTTTATAGGTAAGGAAGTAGAAGACCAGAAAAATGTAGCCATTTGCCCAAGGTTACACACTAACTAAAGGCAGCAATAGAATTAGAATATGGGTTGGTTTATGCCCAATACTATAGAGTTTCCTCCATCTCATATTCTGTATTTCCAGGTCCTACAGTCCTTATGATAGCTAGAGAAGGCCTGGATATTAAAGAATTAAAATAGGGCCAAGATTATCTTCCTTTTTACTACAGTTATATCATATAATATATATTGTTAATTATATCATATCACATCACATCTCCGATTAGTTTTCCATCTTAACAATAAAGAAAGAAATAGTGAAGACTAAAGATTCCCAGATATTACAGAGGAGAGAGGAGCAGCAGATAAGAAAACCTCAGTGTAATCAGAATCTCATAGCATATCCCTTCCTTACTTCCTTGGCTAGAAATGCCCATCATGAGAATCACTTAATGACTCAACCAAAAAGCCCCCATTAGGGCACTATCTCCAGGAAGATAAAATTAAGTGTTTAGTATCAGAGATTATTCCACAGCCTCAGTTAGTTCATTAGATAAACAATCTATCTATCAGCCTTATATCATGGGCTTCAAAGGGAGAACAAACCATAAGACTTTCCATGTGAAAAAAAAAAGTTCCTGGAAATGGAGTACATCAGGAACTAGTTAGTCACCTATAATTGAATGGTTAGGGTTAGCACCAGAAAAAAGAAGACTTATAAAGGGTGGGAAGTTATATATGAAAAAATTTTTAAAGGCAGGCTTTAAACATGTCGAACCACTAGTATCTATTAATTTGGGAGAAAAAAAAACCACAACAAAACACCCTAGTAATCCTGAATTTACATTTAAAGATAATCATAAAAAGACTATTTCCAACTGTAAAAACTTAGAAGTAATGTAGGTGTTGAACAACAGAAGAATGGTTAACTAAGTTATGTCTATAGATTGAAATGTGTAATTATTAAAAATTAGTTTTGGAGGCCTGGCTGGTGTGGCACAGCTGGTTGAAGCCTTGTCCCATAGACTGAAAGGTCACAGGTTCAATTCTGGGTCAGGCACATGCTCAGGTTGTGGGTTTGATCCCCAGTTGTGGATTCAATCCCAGGTTGGGGTGCATACAGGAGGGTGGCCATTTCATGTTTCTCTCCTCACACTGATGTTTTTCTCTTTCCTTCTCTCTCTCTTCCTTGCTCTCCCTCCCACCCCTCCTCTCTAGAAGCAAAGAAACAATGTCCTCAGGTGAGGATAAATATAAAAAAAAATTATTTTTGAAGAATTTTAAATGACACAGGAAATATAACTTTTTAACAATAGTATCTATGAGTTGTAGGATAATATCTGTTTTTTAAAATTTTCTTAGTCCTCTAAAATGAGCATATATTACTTTTATAATAAAAAAACTAATATGACCTAATAGAGAAAGATCCACATTAAATTAAAAAAAAAAAAAGAGTTTTAGAGTAAATGGACATGGGTTTACACTAGCAAAATCTATTCTTGAAAATACTGTTGCCCAGCCCTAGCATAGTTTGCAATAACCCTGTAAAACAGAATCACTTATCTTAAGCTGTATGGTGATGTCTCAAAGAAAAGCAAACATTTTTCACACGCAAATAATTTCAATATGCTTTAATTTATAAAGTTATCAAATTTATTGATACTCATACTATTTTTGACACTCTAAAAGTATAACAATTATTAAAATTCAAACTTGGAACAAAAACAAAGTCATGTTAGTTAGTGGTATTTATAAAATTAGGTGTTTACTTAACCAGGTAGTTCAAATCATTTACATAATAGTGTAAGCCAGGAGAGATGAGGGGAAGGAGGAGAGGGTGGAAAGCTATTATTCACTGGAAGGAGTACAGAAAAACCATGTGTACGTGAATGAATATATTTCTGAGTGTTTCTGTAGGCTCTCTACTCAGAGAGCCTTCACTCCCTTTGTCTTTCTGGCTCCTTCCTCTTCCATTGACCTGTCCTACACTTGTCTGATCTCTTCATTCTCTTTACAATTGAAAGACTACTAAAATTCACCAGTAACAAAGATATTTCAAAATTCACCTAACTCATCACACGTAGTCCTGAAAGGCTAGGTTACTTAATCTTTACGAAAAATTCTTCCCATTATTCAGAAGGAATGAAGAGATAGAAAACAAAAACACAGAAGTGGATATTTCTATTTGACTAGTTAAATGTAAGTTTTTGTTTAGTTTTACAAAAGAGGCACCTTTCCCATCTCTCCCTTCTTTTATAGCCTCTTCCTTTTCTTTTTAAAGTAGTGATAAACTTTAAATAAAACTGGAGATAAAAAAACAAAAGTATGGAACAAAAATAAAAATGGCAAAAATTTATGATACTTCATACATGGGCATAAACTAAATAATATGTTGTTATAGTTTTTAAAATTTAAGTATATATGTAATTTAATAAATATCTTTTTAGATGCTTTACAGGGGTGGGCAGAAGTAGGTTAAATTACCTACTTACCAGCTATCATTACCTAAAAGATAAATCATAAGTAAGTATATGAAATAACAACAATAATAAAAAGACAAATAATACAAATGATTAATATAATAATTAATAAGTAAATAATAATACAAGAATAAACTGTATTTCATGTACTCACTACTATAAACCTATTTTTCCATCCCCTATATAAACTGCAGGCATACTGGCTCAAAACAGAAATGAAAAGTTGAAATTTATAAACAGTTCTATTATATACCTTTTGTACCCACTGCAAATGCTGGTATATAAATGTTACATTAAATTCCAGAATTATCATTAAAAAGCAACATATGATTCTGGACAGGATCCTTTTGCTATATAGAACATTATTGTGACAACTGATGACTCTGGAATCTCTAGATGAAATGGAAGTAATGTATCAGTGATAATTTCCTGAGATAAGTGGTTGGATTGTGGTTATGTAGGAGAATACACTGCTTAAGAAAATATATAATAAAGTATTTAAGAGTGACTTGGTTTCAAATCAACAACTCATTCTCAAATGTTTCTGGAAAAGTTTCTTGAAGTGTTTTTAAAACTTTGTGTATACTTGCAATTGTTTCTAAAAAGAAAAACTTTTTAAAAACCTAAATAGTGACTTCCAGTGGAGATGGAGGCATAGGTAGACACACTGTGCCTCCTTATACAACCACAAGAATTACAACTAACCTCAAAGCAAAACACACCCAGGACTGCCACAAAATTGAACTGTATGGATGTCCAACAACCAAGGATTTAAAGAAGCCACATTCATCCAGATGGGTGTGAGGGGCAGAAAGGGGGAGATGGGGTGGAAAGGATGCAGCGTGTCAGAACACGTGATCCGACATACATGTGTGGTAGATAAAAATTTGGAAGGATACCTTGGGAGCAAGTGATCCCTGCCCCAGGCCAGGCTGCATAGCCTAGGGTTCCAGCACCAGGAATATAAAGCTTCACAACTTCTGGTTATAAAAACCAGTGGGGGTTGGACTGGAGGAAGAAACTGTCAGTTTCTCAGAAGAGTCCATTTAAAGGATGTGCAGGATCCTAGAATGTTTGCAAAACCACCCACACAGGGAATCATCACCAGGGCAGAAGGTAGAAGGGCACCAATCACATATGGGAAGTGGGTGAAGTGACTGGAAAAGGGGCAAGTGCTGGGCAAGCCACCAGAGGCCAGGCAGTGGCATTTTTCCTCTGACCCCTCCCCCCAACAGAGCACCACAAAGCAGTGAAGCATGATGCCCTAACCTGACAAATACCTAAGGCTCTGCCCCCTATAATTTAAGTGGTGTGCTAAGACAGGGAGTCATATCAGCAATACCTAATACATAGAAACAAACACAGGGAGGCTGCCAAGTTTGGGAGACAAAGAAATGTGGCCCAAATGAAAGAACAGAACAAACCTCAGAAAAAGAACTAAGCAAAATGGAGATAGCTAACATATCAGATACAGAGTTCAAAACACTGCTATCAGGATGCTTAGAGAAATCATTGAGTATGGCAAAAACATAAGGGAAGAAATGAAGACTATACTAAGTGTAAAGAAAAATCCACAGGGAACCAACATGAAGGGAAGCTGGGATTCAAATCAATGATTTGGAATATAAGGAAGATAGAAACAATTGAACCAGAACAGAATGAAGAAATAAGAATTCAAAAAACAAGGAGAGTATAAGAAGACTCTGGGACATCTCCAAAAGGACCAACATCTAAATCATAGGGATGCCAGAAGGAGAAGAGGAAGAACAAGAAATTGAAAACTTATTTGAACAAATAATGAAAGAAAACTTCCCTAATTTGGTGAAGGAAATAGACATCCAAGTCCAGGAAGCAAAGAGAGTCCCTAAGAAGCTGGATACAAAGTGGACCACACCAAGACACATCATAATTAAAATGCCAAAAGTTAAAAATAAACAGAGAATCTTAAAAGCAGCAAGAGTAAAGCATAGAGTAACCTGCAAAGGATTTCCTATAATACAATCAGCTGATTTCCCAAAAGAAACTTTGCAGGCAAGAAGGGACTGGCAAGAAGTAGTCAAAGTGATGAAAAGCAGGGACCTACATTCAATATTACTCTTTCCAGCAAAGCTATCATTTAGAATGGAAGGGCAGATAAAGTGCTTCTCAGACAAGGCAAACCTAAAGGAATTCATCATCACCAAGCCCTTATTACATGAAATGTTAAAGGGATCTATTTAAGAAAAAGCAGATCAAAACAATGAAAATTAAAATGGCAACAAATTCACAACTAACAACAACTGAATCTAAAATACAAAAATAGCCCTAGCTAGTGTGACTCAGTGGATGGTGCACCAGCCTGCGAACCAAAGGGTCGCTGGTTCAAGTCCCAGTCAGGGCACATGCCTGGGTGGGCCAGGTCCCTAGCAGGGGGCACACAAGAGGCAACCATACATTGCTGTTTCTCTCCCTCTCTTTCTCCCTCCCTTCCCCCATCTCTAAAAATAAATTTAAAAAAATTTTTAAAAACAAAAACAAACTAAGCGAACAACTAGTACAGGAACGGAATCATAGACATGGAGATCATTTGGAGGGTTAGCAGCTGGGAAGGGAAAGGGGGTGAATGGAGCGAAAAGTACAGAGATTAAGAGGCATAATTGGTAGGTACAAAATAGAGGGATGTTAAGATAATATAGGAAATGAGAAGCCAAAGAACTTGTATGCAAGACCCATGGACATGAACTAAGAGGGGGAATGCTGGAGGGAAGTGCAGTACCAGGCAGAAGGAGACAAAGGGGGAAAATTGGGACAACTGTAATAACATAATCAATAAAATATACTTAAAAAAACCTAAATAGTAAAAAAGCTTAGAGTTAAAGTTGAGTTTTACATGAACTACCTCAGTCCTTTTATGCTATACCAAATATTAAATCCCCTGTGACCATTTCTGATTTTTCCTATGAAAAAAATGTGTGCATGTGTTTGTATGTATATGTGTGTATACATGTGTATGTTACACCCTGCCCCACCTTTTGGGAAACCTTAAACTATTTTTACCTCTGTTTACTACTCTATCCAAGCTAGAAGGAAGGGTAAGGGAAGAGGTGGGTCAGGGATTTTCTCTTATTAAGCCACCAGATAGTGCCAAAGGGCCCATTTAATTCAAGATCTGTAAGGTCAATATACAACTCTCACTATAGAGATGTAAATTCATAAGACAGAGATCCTAAACTAAACACACATAATTAGGCAACTGCTTGCACATAAAAATAAATTCAATGATAATAGTTTGTTGAAATTCTTTAAAAGAGTGGGAATTATTAATTTAAAACATGAAGCAGGGTACCAAACAACATAATAGAAAGTACACTTGAAAAAAAGTGTGTATCTTACTTACTGTAAATTTGCTAACACCCTCAAGTTCTCCAAATCGCATGTAAGAGATGTCTGCCTTCTTTTTTCCAACATCTATATCCCCTGTATAAATTTGTTTTATGCCTGCACCTTTAATTAAAGGTACACACTCATCACATGGGCACTTTGTCACAAAAATCATACTTTTTTCTTCTGGTTTTATTTCTTGACACCTACAAAAATTTATAAAATATTATAAAGTTAGTTTCAAAAGGGTAAGTTATATTTCAGAGAAATCTTCAAAAAACTAAAACTGAGCTGCTTTAAGAACAGACTTAAAACATTATAAACAATAATAAGTCAAACTTATTCTCCCTGAATTAGTAAATGTTCAAAATATATAAACTCATTGCAAAAATATAACCTGAACATGACAATTATTATAACTAAAATTCATTTATTTATTTTAACCAATTTGGCATGATTTCAATATTAGATTTCAAAGTAAGTGAAAACAGAATGAAACAGATATTGAGAGAGAAAGGGAAAGAACACAATGTTTTCTAAATAAGAACTTCTTACAGTGCTGGAATTAGGGGCAAGAACACCCTCCTTAAAAGTTTATGATGTATGATTAGAGATTAATTTATCATGGCAGGCAAAAGATCTACCTTTTATCTAATGGATATTTAATAAATGCTTACTAAGTTGATAGATTAATATTAAAGTTTTGGATTGGGTTATAGTTCCCTTACCCCCTCTTTAAAACAGGATGATTTTACTTAACAAACATTTAACAAATGATCCATATCTCCCTACAAAATTAAGCAAGTAAACCTGTAATGAGGAGCACAAAGAAAAGAGAGAGGAGTTGTTTGATGTGGGTAGTTTAGCACTAAGGTATACTCTCATCTGAGGCTATAGGGGCTGTACTTCCTGGATCTATAGTTTACACTGCTCAGAGTCAGTTGTCTTACATTACCACCAGCCTTCAATATCCATCTCTCCAGTTCAGACTCTCACTCTGTTCACCTGGACTAGGGCAACATAATTTTATACACCTAGTCTATTCAAACGATATACCCACAACTTAAGCAATCAGTAAATGTGGCTCTGTCAATGCCATTCCATTTCCCTGCTAACTACCAAATGAAGTCTAACCTCACAGTCTTCCCAATCTAGTCCCAGGTGCTCCGTGGTCCAGCCTAACTACAATATGCACGTTTTTACACACATTTTTCCTACTTCTAAACCACTGCTATGCCTGCAGCTAGAATGACTTCCCCACAAGTATCAATTGCTACCATCCTACCAATCCTTTAAAGCTCAGTTTAAATGCTTGTTTCTCCATAAAGCTTTTCCCTCCCACTCCCACTCCATCTATTGCAGCCCCTGAATTTTCACAGCACTTGTGTTTGCCTTTCTTACACAACCAATTACATTAGGTTGAATGCACTATTATATCCCCTACTGCATTATAAGCAACTAAGGTCAGGAGCCACATTTTATTTGAATACACTAAGGTCACCCCCTTAACGGTTAAGGATGAGAAATGTTCATGAAAATATCTAAATTAACATCAGAGGAGGTAATTCTAGTTATAATCTCTAACAAAAACTATGTTAAAGCAATTTAGTTAATAAATCTATATATTTAAATATAAAATATGTGCTTTAGATTTAGAAAACAAAGGAGAGCTTACATTCCAGAAATATACAAGACCCTAAGGACACACTTCATGCAGTTTTATACTGGAAAGCAAAGGAGAAAGGGGAAAAAGATTGCTCAATAAATCTGAAGGCCCACAGGATCTCCAATAATGGCCTGAGGTCAGGCAGCAAAGACCAAGTATGACCCAAACTAAACTTCTGAAAAAGTATTTCTTAAAATTTTTTAAAAAGGAAATGAGTTACAGCTAAAAGAAAATTTCAGCTAACCTGTACAACATTTCAGAGAAAATAAGTGAAAATGAACTTCATACCTAAATGTTAAGGCATTCTGTTCTGCATGGACAATGTATCTGAATTTCCTTATTTCTCTGTCCTTCTGTTTGTCATCCATGTTGGGGAAGTCAGCATACTCAGATCCAACAGGAAAAGCATTATAACCACATCCTATGAAGTACATCCTGCCTGTCCCATCACAATTTTGCTATGAAAAAGAGAAAACCAACAAAGCTTAGTTTCCAACATTCTGAAGTCAGCTTGGTACTATACTCTGTGTAATACATTCAATTTTCTATGAAAAATTCAACCATCAAAAATATAATATTAGATCCTCCTACTGCAGTGTGGTCTTGTCAAAGTTAAATTTCAGGAAGACTAATCCTCTATCTCTCTAACATATAATCTCAAGGCAGACATTGGTTTTAGCAGTTCATTAAATACTAGCTTGTATAATTCACATAATTTCACTTGATTCAGACATGCTCCCTTGAACAGATGATGGAGAACAGAAACCATGCCTTTTTTTTTATCCCTTACAGTACACCTATTAGAGTGTTTCATACACAACAAGTATTCAATAAGTGATTGTTAATTTCTTAGATGCTCTGTGCTGTGCTACTTGTTAGCAAGCCAGAAATTTAAAAAATATTTTGAACAATTTTTGTTGCTGGGCTAAAAATGTGCTATTGTGATATAGCTGGAAAGTAAAAAATTCACTCTCCTATAATCTTCTATAATTATTGAGCCCCTGTTATATGTATATATATTATCATAGGATTTCTTACCTCAAAGGTTCTCATGGTCAGTGGCATATTAGGTATTAATATGAATGCTTTATCAATTATTAGTGAAATATGTTATAAGTCACATGAGTTTATAATAGCTTGGAATATGCTATAATAAACTTCACTAAATTTCAATGTAATTACTCATGAGATAGTATCAACAGAGTCATTACTGTAGCACCTTGACAAAAATCACTGTTACAGTAAGCCAACAGAAGCTTACAAATAAAATATTATATTAATACATAATTTATTCTTGAGTACTTACTAAATGTCAAACATCATGCTGAGTTTAATATGTATTATTTCATTTAATCAACACAGACTGAAATTTAAGCCCGGGTTGCTTGACTTCAACGTTATGTCTTTCTACTTTACCATGCTGAGTACACTGTAGATAATTTAACTGGAAATTTAAGTTCTCCACAAGGTAGTTGAGAACAACCAGATTTTAAGCCAAAACCTGCTTAGCATTCATATAAACACAAATAAGAGTTCCAACCATAGGCCAGGCACTGTGTTAGGTGCTGGGAATATAGCTGTAAACAAGACAGAGAATTCCTGTCCTTGTGAACCTAATAATCAAGAGATGCTAAGAAACTGGACATGTAATTTTAACTGTGATGAGTGCTACAAATGAGCTGTACAGAATATTATGGGAGATTTTCTCAGGTGAACCTATTCTAGTAGGTGTTAACAGTTGAGGTAGAAATAAGCAGAGTCAAGAGATATTTTGAAGGTAGAATCCATCATACTTGGTGACGGACTGGATGAGTGGAATAACAGGGAATGGGATGGTGACCACAGATGAAGAAACAGGTTAGCATGGAAAATACTGGATGTATTGGCTAGGATGAACTTGAAGTACTTATGAAACACCCAGGCAAATAGTCAAAATACTTGTTGTAAAATCTATTAAAGCAAAATTTAGGCTCCCACACATAGTTACTAAGTATCTCTTAATACCATGCTCTCCTAACCCATCCCCATAATTCCAAGCCCTCATCATCTTTTTTTAATGTCCCTATTTCCTGTCTAGCCCCACCTCATTCTTTTTATAATGCAAATCTGAACCAATCATTTTCCCCCTTAAAGTTTATTGGATTTCACTATCCAGTACAGTTAGCCAGAGCCACGTGCAGTTAGTGTTAATTGAGAGGTGGGGTAAGTATAAAATATACACAAGATTTTGAAGACAATACTCCCCAATATGCAGAGTATTTTATTAATAATCTTTTATACAGATTACATGTTAAAATATTTCTGCTCATGTTAGATTAAAACATACTCTTAAAATTAGTTCACCTTTTTTTTCAATATGACTCCTATACAATAAAGGAAACCAACAGAGACAAGAGGGAAGGAGGGGGGAGGGGCAGGGGAAAAGGAAGAGAAAGGACAAGTCAAGGAACATATAGCAAGGACTCATGGACAAAAGCAAAGGGGAAGGGTTGAGGGAGGGTGAGGGGAGGGGGCAAGGGAAAGTGGTGGGGGGAAGGCAGAGACAAATGTATTTGAAAAAAATAAATTAATTTTTTTAAAAAAGAGAAAAAATTAAATATGTGGTTTGCTTTACATTTCTACTGGTTTGCACTGTACTACTATATCCCACTGGCTAAAGAATAAAGTCCAAACTCTCCACATGAAACAGAAAGTTCTTCATGGTCCAGACCAATTTTTTTTACAACAGTATTAAACACAGGACTCTAGACTCCAACATTCCAAATTACGCGTTTTCCCACATTGTGTCTCACACCTCCTACTTCTGCATGTTATCCTCATAGTCCCATGAACTTGTTCTGCCTGGTGAATTCCTATTCATTCTTCAAGACGGGAAGCACCTTACATCCACCAAGAATATTTTATTTATTTCTCCAAGCAGAGTTAAGGTTCCTCCTCTGTTTTCACGGTATCATGTTATAATAACACATACCAGTCTATTTTTCACTTTTCTGTGTCCATGACTAAACTACAGACAGCCATGAAGGACAGAAAATGTGGTCTAAAGACCACTGTACACTGTATCATAGTGCCTATCCTATAGAACGTGTTTAATAAATGTTTGCTAGATCAGTATAGGAGATTCCAGGATGGCTGCAAAGTACATGGAAGCTGTGTTTACTTGCTCCCAGCCCCAAACTGGATTTATAGCTAAATTGCAGAACAATCAACTTAAACAACCAACTAAAAGGTAGCTAATATGAAATATTATAACAAAAAAGTACAGAAGATGCTACATAGACACTGGTATGAAGGGCTGAGATGCAGAGGGGGAAAGCCCCCAAACACAGGTGCAGTAGCAGCTGAGAAGTTGGAGAGATTGTGGCTGTGGAACTCCCTCTCCCTAGGAGCGAGGGGTCTTAACCCCATGCGGGGTTCCCCAACCCACAGCAACAGAGATGGGAAGAGGGGTCTGTGTAGAATCTGGCTGTGGGAATCTGGGGATTTACCTCTCCTGGGAGACTCGGAGCACACTTTCTCAGGGTAGAGCACTCCTATTGTTACAGCACCAGCCTGGAGAGTTCATGGTCCAGAGTCTTTTGGAAAGGATGCACTGCCATGGAGGGGTCTGCTGGCTACACACAGCAGTGACTTTAGGGGGCCTCTATTTTCTGAGGAGGCTTTAGGTAGAGACCCAGACAGTGACTTAACTGTGTGGCTTGGGAAAGAAGAACAGTCTCCCCCACTTCCAGCACACACTAGGTGCCCCTGCCCCTACCTGCTGAGCCACTCCTGCTGCTGCTGAGTTGGAAGGCACAAGGGAGCTGTGCAGGGTTAGGATTTTTGGCCTGCCCTGTTATATTAGGTGTTGCGCTGTGCCAAGCTGGGACTTTCGACCCTGACCAGCTAGGTTAGGAGCCCCTGCAGAGTGGGGACTTTCAGCTCTGCTCTGCTGAGACCAGCCACCTGGAAATATTGGGAGTGTGGAGCAGGGCTGGGATTTTCAGCGCCATCCCAGTTTGGCAGCAAGCTAGGGAGCCACACAGAGCTGAGATTTTCAGACTGTGTCTCCTGGGGAGGATTCTGTCTGGAAGCAAGTCAGTCAGTGGTGGGCTGCGTGCCTACATTGCGGGAAGGCAAATCCAATTTTTTGTCTTCCCAAAGGGAAGGCGCTGTGAGTTCAGCCCCTGCTACTCTGGGTAGGGGAAGAAGTGCCCTCCCCATTCCACCCTCCTACAGGTTTGAGGGCACCACCCCTAATGGAAAACTGTTTAGATTAGCCTTGCCAAATTCTGGACACCCATCACTAGGTGTATTTCCACAGAGGAAAGGAAGAGCAGCTCAGAACCAGGACTTTCAAAGTGTGAGACCCCTGGAGGCTATTGCCTGGGCATTAGCCTCCTCCTGTGGGCTGGGATGGCATCATCCCCAATGAGAGAACTTTTGATCTATCCCCTTGAGCCCAGGGTGGCTGAGTTTGCTCCAAGAAAGGGGACGGCTGGCTGTACCCAATATGAATCTGCAGAGAGACCCTGGGGCAACTAGAATTGGAGATTCTGGCAGAGACTGAGTTTAGCTTTGAATCAGGGGCTACTTTTCCCAAATTGAATGCTCCACTGAGTGATCCCCAAGTAAGGGACCCACTAGCCCTATCTCAACTAGCCTGGGCTCATCCTAGAATCTCTCACTGAAAGGCTCAGAAGGAAGGCCAGGCAACCTTGGGGGGAGACAGAGTAGCTGAAAGGTGAACGGCAGACCTCAGGGAGCCTTGGTCCATTTACAGAGTTGCCCCCAGCTCTAAGCAGGAAGAAGCTGAACCTTTACACAAATTGGCTCCTCACACACACTCAAGTCCAGTAGACACTGACACAAACAGTGAATAGTGTAGTAGCTACAGACAGGTAGCCCAAGGCCAGTTATACACAATGTCTGACAGCTACCTTTTCCTGAACTCCACCCATGTGGACTCAGAACCAACAAAGCCAGTGGAGGACTTCAGACCACACCAGAGCTCAACCCAACTAGGCACACAACTGGCACACCTAAAGAGGGATTCCTGCAGGCACCAGACTCTGCTGAAGACAATGTCACTTAAAAGGGCAGCTCCTGCCCACTGCCTCATACATGGTGGCCAAGGTTTACCCTGCAGTCTCCCAGCTCGAAGGGTTAATTAACTCTACCCACAAATGGGCCAACAGCACTTAAGACTCAACTACAACAGGGGGTACACATAATCCTCAAGAAACACTACTAATGCACAGAGTTCAGGTGATCTGCAAGATTGTGTCACTGAGTCCAACAAGGCACCTTCATCATAAAACCATCAAAACAAGTTGGAGAGACATAGTATATCTACCCAAGACACAGAGACCAAATGGGGAGACAAAGAAAAATGTCCCAAACAAAATAACAAGAGAAATCCTCAGAAAAAGAAATAAAAGGAATGCATAAAATGGAAGCAACCAAAATACCAGATATA